CCACCATTTGCTTTAGCCTCAGTGTCTATATGACAGATGGGTCCATGTTGTAGAAGAACCCAAAAACAGTCTTTTTTTTTTGGAGTTGGAATCTCACTCTGTCCCCCAGGTTGGAGTGCAGTGGCATGCTTATGGCCATTGCAGCCTCGATGTGCTGGGCTCAGGTGATCCTTTCGTCTCAGCCTTCCAAGTAGCTGGAACTACAGGCACATGCCACCACGCCCAGCTAAGTTTTTTATTTATTGTAGAGATGAGGTCTTGCCAAGTTGCCCAGGATGGTCTTGAACCCATGGACTCAGGCAGTCCTCTCACCTTAGCCTCCCAAAGTGCTGGGATTATAGGTGTGAGTCACTGCACCTGGCCCTAAAACAGTCTTAAATAATCAGAACTGTTTTTTGTACAACATCTTCATTGTCTGGCACCAGTGTGGCACTGGTTTAGAAACACTCATCTCCATCAAGTTGTCTTCTATTAATTTCTCTGGTATGGTGTCTATTAGCTGTTGTATTTCTCCAAGATGCATATCTTGAAACCCCACCATCCTTTTTTGCTGTATCCATAATTTCTCATGATTTCCTTAATTGGCTCTGTCATAAATCCTGTGAAGTCATACATAATATCTGGGCAGTTTTCTCCAGCAGGGATTTGTTTCAGGCTTGATGGTTTTTGTGGATTTTTCTATTACAATGGTATCGGCAATGGTGTAATTCTTCCAGACTTTCATGATGCTTTCTTTGTTGGAGTTCTCTTCCACAGCATTGACAGTCCTTTCCATAGTATCACATGTAATAAGCCTTAAAGGTCCTTATGACCCTCTCTGTTCTAGAGGCTGAATTAGAGGTTGTTTGGGCCAAGTAGACCACTTCAGCAATTTTGGTGTTGAGCTCATGGAGTTCTGAGTGCCCAGGAGCATTGTCCAATATCAAAAGAACTTTAAAAAGCAGTCCCTTACTGGAAAGGTACTTCAGGTACAAAGTATCAGTAGAACCAATCCAAAAAAGGGTTCTTGTTGTCCAGGTCTTGTTGTCCAACCAAGAGACTAGCTACTCCTGTTTATATTTTCCCTTCCAAGCTTGGGGATTAACAGTGATAGAGATAAGGGCAGTACTGATCATAAACCCAGTTGCAGTTGTACACAACAATAGAATTACCCTATCCCTTCCTGCCTTCAATCCTGGTGCTTACTTCTCTTCCTTACTAATAAACGTCCTTTCTGGCGTATTTTTTCCAGTGAGATCAAGTCTCTACACACACACACACACACACACACACACAGTGAGATCAAGTCTCTACACACACACACACACACACACACACACACACACACACACACACACACACACACACACACAGTGAGATCAAGTCTCTACACACACACACACACATGCCAGGCATTGGGGTGCCTGCCAGTAGTCCCAGCTGTTCCAGAGGCTGAGGTGGAAGGATCACCTGAGCCAAAGAAGTAGAGGCTGTGGCAAGCTATGATTGTGCCACTGTACTACAGCCTGGGCGACAATGAGATCCCAACTCAAAAACAAAAACAAAAAAAACCAAACAATAAAAAACCAACCTGTTCAGGCAGATTTCCTTTCTTCCCAATAATTTTCATAATGACATTGGGCCTCATCTTGACTTTTTTTTTTTTGAGTTGGGGTGGTCTCATTCAAGCAATCCTCCTGTGTTGGCCTCCCAAAGTATTGGGATTATAGGCATGAGTCACCGTGTCCAGCCCTATCTGATATTTTTTAAGCCAAATCTCTTTCTAAAGTTAAACCATCTTTTGCTGGGTCTAAATTCTTCAGCTTTAAATTCTTTAACTTCCTTTTGCTTTAAGTTGTCATTAATTTTTTTGCCGAATCAGAGGCATACTTTTCTTGGAGCAAGCCTACACTCCCAGAAAAGCTGCATTGTTTTTATTTATTTATTTATTTATTTATTTTTTGAGTTGGAGTCTCACTCATTTGTCCAGGCTGGAGTACAGTGGCATGATCATGGATACCATAGTCTTGATCTGCTGGGCTCAGGTGATCCTTACACCTAAGCCTTCCAAGTAGCTGGGACTACAGAAGCATGCCACCACACCCAACTAATTTTTTAAACTTATTGTACAGATGAGACTCTTACTATGTTGTCCCGGTTGGTTTCAAACCCCTGGGCTCAGGCAATCCTCTTGCTTCAACCTCCCAAAGTGCTGGGATTACAGGTGCAAACCACCACACCCAGCGAAAGCTGCATTTTTTGTTTGTTTGTTTTGCTTTTTTGAGTTGGAGTCTCACTCTGTCACCTAGACTGGAGTGCAGTGGCCACTCCCAGCCACCGCAGCCTCGACCTGCTGGGCTCCGGTGATCCTTCTGCCTCAGCCTTCCGAGTAGCCAGAATTACAGTCATGTGCTACCACGCCTGGCTGATTTTTTCATTTATTGTAGATATGAGGTCTTGCTGCCCAGGCGGGTCTCGAACCCGCAGGCTCAGGCAATCCACTCACCTCAGCCTCCCAAAGGCGCGGGATTACAGGCTGAGCCATGAGCCCCGCCAAAGCTGCATTTTTGATGAGATAAAAAGATATTTCACAAGGTATCTGTGTGCCTGCTGGTATAACTGCAGTTAACAGCTTCACAAATTGTTTTTTGTTTTGTTTTGTTTTGTTTACAATGATCCTTATGCTGGATTCATTTATCTTGACATGGCAGGCAACTGCAGCTACAGTATATAACAAGTAATTTAAGCTTTTCTTGTAATTTCATTACGTTTTCTCCTAAGTTCTTAGGAGCACTTCCAGCATCACTGGTGGAACTTTGTATGAGTCCCTTGGTGTTATTCAAGGTTTATGGGATGTTTAATCCAATCTCTCAGGAACTGTGAGAATAATTTTTTTATTGTGATGTATGACTTAACCGAAGAGATGAACTGCTTACTGTGAAGATAGAGCCACAGGGCTTTTAGTTTTAAGCAGATACTGACAACATGTGAGCTCACTGCAATGGCAACAGGTGGCTACAAAATTATTACAATACAGTATGTACTAGTTAATTTTATGCAGTTACAAAGACTGCAGCTTTACATTTGTTTACATTTCTCTCAAATGAGAATGGTACCATATGTGGTCTGTGTTTATGTAAGTTTTGATAAACTTTAACTTTTTATAACAGATTGTATTTTGTGGTAGTAAATGATAAATTAGATTAGTATCTCCATATACTTTATGTATTTGGTGTATCTTTTTCTTAATTTTTTTATTCTAGACTACAAGTTTCATCTGAGTTTTTTCAAATTGTTGCAAATCTCCAGATTTTCCAATATAATTTATTTTTAAAATTTTTGTATAAGTAGACCTGTGCAGTTCAAACTCATGCTGTTCAAGGGTCAAATGTATGCTAATTTTAAATCTCCAGATTTTCCAATATAATGTATTTTAAAAATTTTTGTATAAGTAGACCTGTGCAGTTCAAACTCATGCTGTTCAAGGGTCAAATGTATGCTAATTTTAAAAAATAAACTTAATTACATGAGCAGTCAATCACAAATGGATTCCCCAAACTGTAGAGTAAACCTTTTATATAAACTTATGTGTTTTAAACATATATGAAAACATCTCAGCCGGGCTCGGTGGCTCAGCCTGTAATCCCATGCCTTTGGGAGGCTGAAGTGAGTGGACTGCCTGAGCCCGCGGGTTCAAGACTCGCCTGGGCAGCGAGACCTCATCTCTACAATAAATCAAAAAATCAGCCAGGCGTGGTAGCGCGCGCCTGTAATTCCGGCTACTAGGAAGGCTGAGGCGGAAGGATCGCTGGAGCCCAGCAGGTCGAGGCTGCGGTGGCCGGGAGCGGCCACTGCACTCCAATCTGGGTGACAGAGTGAGACTCCAACTCAAAGTAAATAAATAAATAAAAATAAATAAAATATAAAAAAAGAAAACATCTCACAATACACTCATTATAGTTATATTAAAATCTCAACTCTAGTATAGATTTCGCATGTCAAACCTTTTAGGTTCTCTTATTCCTCGGACTATCTTCCTGACTTTATTAAAGGTTTGAGAGGATACATTAGGGGCCAATCAGGCAGGGGTCACGGATCAGAGAAAGGAATAAAAGAAAAATGCTACAAAAATCAGGCAGCACCTCAATTCCTCCAGAACAGTCTTCACAAATTGGCATCATTATTCTCCTGAAGTAAATTTGCAAATGTCACTCACCTCTCAGTGTAAGTAGACAAAAAAAAATTCCAGAGGTAATTTTTTGTTTTTAGTATCTATACATCTACAAGGTGAGTAATCAAAGAAAAACTGGCTGGGCAAGGTGGCTCATGCTTGTAATCCAACACTATGAGAGGCAGAGGCGGGAGGACTGTTTGAGCCTAAGAGTTGGAGGCTGTGATAAGCCATAAGATTGATTCTAGAATAGTATTAAATTAGCTTTTCTCTTTGATTTACACCACAGGCTTAACTTACTTCAGGCTCTTTTGAGTCAGAGAGCATGCATGCCTATATTATATAAGCTAAAGAGAGAATCGTTCCTGTCACATAGGCTTCAGACCACGGCCACATTTTATTTAGAAATCACAGGTTTATTTTTTTTATCTTGAAAAAGACATAATAGAAAACAAAAATTAACAACGAAGCATATCAATATTTGTGACACGTGACATGATGTATGTGTGTGTGTGCGTATGTATATATAAACTGATATAGGAAATGACATAAAGAAAAAGCACAGTAAGATGTTTTGAAACAAAGATGGGGCATGAACAGATTTCTGATGAAACACAACTAAGGGCTTTGCCTAATTGTCCAGGTAATGTTCAAGATATTACAACCACTCTTTTACATCCCATTACCAAAAATTAGCAATGTAGGCTTGAAAATATGATTCCTGTGTTTTAACAGGGTATTTACCTAGTCTCTACAATACATAAAAAAAACTAGCCAGGCGTGGTGTGCGAGCTTCTAGTTCCAGCTACTTGCAAGGCTGAGGTGGAAGAATTGCTGAAGCCCAGCAAGTCGAGGCTGTGGTGGCTGAGTGTGCCACTACATCTCAGCCTGGGTGACAGAATGAGACTCTGATTCAAAAATACAAAGACATAAATAAGTTCATGTGTTTTATAGACATGATTTATATTTGATCTTCACTAGCTTTACTGAAAAGTGGAATGAAAATATATAACAAAGTCAGTTGGGCTGTAATGGACCTATAATTCGATACTACAGTATCAAGAAGGCTCTTTCAGTATTGCTAGAAGCCTATAAATACTCATCTCAAAATCAACTAGAAATGGACTTCATATGATTATATATAACTAAGCAAAAATAAAGTTGATTACTTGGCACTAAGAGTTTGGACATGAACTTCAGAAGTAAAAGGTAAAGGAGGCATTATATCATGCTTATGAAGAATTTTTTTCTACTAATATTTTGGGGATACAAGAGGAAACTTCCTTTTGTTGTTTCCGCCACTTGAGTATAATCTCTGCCAATTCTTCTGTCTTAGTCACCAAAATATCCATCTTTGCTAAAGCCTTGCTCTGTAACATTTAAACAAAAGTAAAAAGAATTTATTTGTCATTCATTATCATTATATCACAAATTATTATGATACCAAAAGTTAACACCTGATCTTTTCTCCAGCTCCTTCCTACAGAAGCTCCTTAAAATTCCATACCAGGTGCAGTAGCTCACGCCTAGAACCCCAAGCACTTTGGGAGCCCAAAGTGAGAGGATACCTGAGCCCACGGGTTTGAGACCAGCCTGGGCAACTTGGCAAGAACTCATCTCTACAATAAATCAAAAAAATTAGCCGGGCGTGGTAGCGCACACCTGTAGTTCCAGCTACTTGGAAGGCTGAGGCGGAAGGATCGCCGGAGCCCAGAAGGTCGAGGCTGCTGTGGCTGGGAGCGGCTACTGCACTCCAGTCTGGGCGACACAGTGAGACTCCAACTCAAAAAAAAAAGAAAGGGCGAGCAGGAGGACTGTTTGAGTCCAGGAGTTTGAGATCAGTCTAGGAAACAGGAGAGCCCGTACCTAAAAAAATTTTTTTTAAGTTAGCCAGGCACAGTAGTGTGTGCCTGTAGTCCCAGCTATTAGGGAGGCTGAGGAGGGAGGATCTCCTGAGCCCAGGAGTTCGAGGTGAGTTGAGATGTGCCACTGCACTGCAGTCTGGACTACAGAGTGAGATCTTATCAGGAAAAAAAAAAAGGCCAGGCGCAGTGGCTCAAACCTGTAATCCCAGTACTTTGAGAGGCCGAGGCGAGAGGATTGCCAGAGCTCAGGGGTTCGAAACCAGCCTGGGCAACTTGGTGATACCTAGTCTCTACAATAAATCAAAAAATAAGCCAGGCATGGTGGCGTATGCCTGTAGTTCTAGCTACTTGGAAGGCTGAGGCAGAAGGATCGCCTGAACCCAGCAGGCCGAGGCTGTGGTGGCCGTGAGTGTGCCACTGCACTCCAGCCTGGGTGACAGAGTGAGACTCACACACACACACACACACACACACACACACACACAAGTTAAATCAGGAGAGCATACATCTGAGATTTTAGTATAAAAACTAAAGATAGCTATATTAATACTTACCATTTTCTTTAGATTTTCATCTATATGAGGAATATTTCTAATTGTTTCAACATGGGTTTCTAATCTTTCAATGAAAGTCACAGCTAACTCCAGCAAATCTACCATATATCTGAAATAGGGGAAAAAAGGCAATTTTTTAAGTTTGTTTTGTGTTCCTTTTCTTTTCCTTTAATCAGGACTTTGTTTCTTTGCTTGATTTTGAGTTGTCGTCTTACTCTGTCACCCAGGCTAGAATGCAGTGGCATGCTCGAGGCCACCACAGCCTCGACCTGCTGGGCTCAGGCGATCCTTCCGTGTCAGCCTTTCAAGTAGTTGGAACTACAGGTGCATGCTACCATGTCCAGCTTATTTTTTTTTTAATTTATTGTAGAGACGAGGTCTCACCAAGTTGCCCAGGATGGTCTCGAATCCCTGAGCTAAAGCAATCCTCTTGCCTCGGCCTCCCAAAGTGTTGGGATTACAGGCTTGAGCCACCAAACCCAGCCTTTTAATGAGAGGTAAGAGAATTACAAGCAACTTCATGAGCCAATAACAACCTTCCTGCATTCATAGAAATATCAATGATACGAAAGGTTCTTCTCTTTCACTTTAAGCAAGATGTAACTTGTCATCCAAATAGAAAAATGGAAAAAGACAACAATAATATCTGAAATCCAACTTTAGGCAGACTTCAGTTTTAATCATTATATCATTTATTTTGATTTATTTATTTTTTGAGTCAAAGTCTCACTCTATCGCCCCGGCTGGAATGCAGTGGCATGCTCACAGCCTCCCCAGCGTCAACCTGCTGGGCTCAGGCAATCCTTCCACCTCAACTTTCCAAGTAGCCAGAACTACAGGCGCTCACTACCATGCCCAGCAAATTTTTTTATTTATGGCAGAGATGAGGTCTTGCCAAGTTGCCCAGACTGGTCTTGAACCCCTGGGCTCAGACAATCCTCTCGCCTCAGCCTCCCAAACTGCTGGGATTATAGTGTGATCCACTGCGTCAGGCCTCATTTTATCCTTCTTTTTTTTTGAGCTGGAGTCTCACTCTGTCGCCCAGTCTTGAGTGCAGCGGCACACTCACAGCCACTGCAGCCTCAACCTGATGGACTCAGGCGATCCTTCCGCCTCAGCCTTCCAAGTAGCTGGAACCACAGGCATGTGGTTTTCTGATTTTTTGGTCTCGCCATGCTGTTCAGGCTGGTCTTAAACCCCTAAGCTTAGGTAATCCTCTCGCCTCTGCCTCCCAAAGTATTGGGATTACAGGCGTGAGCCACTGTGCCTGGCTCATTTTATCATTGAAGTAAAGAAATTTTCCTAGATAAAACCATTCCATTTCAACCTGCTCATTCTCAGTGTCGAGTGAAGACAATTAGTACTTCATTCACATTGTCTACATATAAACCTAACTTTGAATTTCTGCATTTGCAAAATGCTTTAAAAATCACTGCTCAGTTCTTTATGTACTATAATATATACATTAATGGTAATATACTGTACTGACTAGGTACTGAATATAGTCATAATTTTTTTTTTTAAAGAATGGAGTCAGGCATGATGGCTCATACCTGTAATCCCAGCACTTTCAGAGGCCAAGGTGAGAGAGCTTCTGGAGTTCAAGACCAGCTTAGGGGACATAGTGAGATCTCCTCTCTACCTCCTCCAAAAAAAATAGCTGGATATGGTGGCACATGCCTGTTCCCAGATACTTGGGAAGCTGAGGTTGAGGCAGGAGGATTGCCTGAGTCTAGAAGGTCAAGGCTGCAGTGAGCCATGATTGTGCCATTGGACTCCAAGCTGGGAGACAAAGTGAGACACCCAACTCAAAAAAAAAAAAGCAAGAATGGAGTTTTGTGTATCTATTACTTTCCAACATAATTTTTTAAAATTTGCCTTTTCAAGGTGGTGACATCCTACCCATGAGAACCTGCCTTTTGCAAAGGATCTTCTTCATCTCTCTCCAGAAGAGAAGAGGAAACACAAGAAGCACCTGATGTAGAGCCCCAATTCCTACTTCATGGACATGAAATGCCCAGGATGCTATAAAATCACCATAGTGGTCCGGGTGCGGTGGCTTGCCTGTAATCCCAGCACTTTGGGAGGCAAAGGCAAGAGGACTGCCTGAGCCTAGAGGATTGAGACCAAGCTGAGCAGCTTGGTGAGACTCCGTCTCTACAATAAATTAAAAAAATTAACCAGGTATGGTGGCATACATCTGTAGTTCAGCTACTTGGAAGGCTAAGGTGGAAGGATCGACTGAACCCAGCAGACTGACTGGCTGGAGTAGCCAATAGCGTACCACTGCATGCTAGCCGCCTAGGCAACACAGTGAGACTCTAACAACAACAACAAAAATGACCAAGGTCTTTAGCCATGCAAAAACAGTAGTTTTATGTGGAGGCTGCTCCACTGTCCCCTGTCCAGCCTAAGGAGGATGAGCAAGGCTTACAGAAGAATGTTCCTTCAGGAAGAAGGAACCCAATCAAGATGAATGGGAAATCATCCCAATAAACACATTTTAGATTTTAAAAAAAATCTGGTGCTGGGCTCAGTGGCTTAAACCTGTAATCCCAGCACTTTGGGAGGCAGAGGCAAGAGGACTGTCTGAGCCCAGGGGTTGGCGACCAGCCTGGGTAACTTGGCAAGACCTCGTCTCTACAATAAATCAAAAAATTAGCTGGGCATGGTGGCACATGCCTGTAGTTCCAGCTACTTGGAAGCTTGAGACAGAAGGATCACCTGAGCCCAGTAGGCCGAGGCTGCGGCAGCCGTGAGCGTCACACTGCACTCCAGCCTGGGGGACAGAGTGAGACTCCAACTCAAAAAAAAAAATATCAGATATTTAAGAGACAGAGAAAGTTAGCAATCAGATCTGCAGGTGCTTGCTTCTTTATTTGTATTTATCTTTATTTATTATTAATAATAACCTATATCTTCAATTTGATAGTTGCAATACTCCTATGAAAGAACAACAGAAATTATCTCCATTGTATGGATGGGGAAACTGAGGCAAAAATTTAAATAATTTGCCCGAGGCTTTGAAGCATATAAACAGTAAAGAAAAGAATCCAGTTTTTTCTTCCCTTGGTTGACATTGTTTAGACCTGACCTAGTTAAATCTCCTAATGGAATTTTTACATATAGGCAACATGAACTCAACAATAAATTTACTTCACAGTGGCTGGGCGCGGTAGCTCATGCCTGTAATCCCAGCACTTTAAGAGGCTGAGGTGAGAGGACTGCCTGAGCCCACAGGTTCAAGACCAACCTGGGCAACTGAGTGAGACCTCATCTCCACAATAAATCAGAAAATAAGCCAAGCATGGTAGCACGTACCTGTGGTGCCAGCTACTTGGAAGGTTTAGGCGGAAACGTCACTTGAGTCCAGCAGGAAGAGGCTGCAGTGGCCGTGACTGTGCCACTGCACTCCAGTCTGGGCAACAGTAAGACTCCAATTCAGAAAATAGTAATAATAAAATTAGGCCAAGCGTGGTGGCTTATGCCTATAATCCCAGCACTTTGGGAGGCTGAGGTGAGAGGACTGCCTGAGCCCATGGATTCAAGACCAGCCTGGGCAACTTGGCAAGACCTCATCCCTACAATAATCAAAAAGTTAGCTGGGCGTGGTGGCGCATGCCTGTGGTTCCAACTACTTGGAAGGCTGAGGTAGAAGGATCACCTAAGCCCAGCAGGTCGAGGCTGTGGTAGCCGTGAGCATGCCATTGCACTCCAGCCTGGGCGACAGGGTGAGACTCCAGCTTAAAAAATACAAAATAAAATAATAAAATAATAACATTTTTAAAAATTTGCTTCACAAAAAAAGTCTATACATAATAAAAAATAATTTTACCCACCTCGCTACATGTTATGGATCTAATTACCTTTCATTAAAGCCATAATTTATCCCAAAACATGGGCAAAAAGAAGTCTTTTCTTTTCACCATAGCTATAATTCTTTAAAAGCAAAGGATTTTCTTTCTTGTTTGATATAGCAACATCAATGTTAACAAATACAATCACTAAAATATTTTTTCACAAATTATGCTGCAAACAATTATGCTAGTGTAAACAAAAACTACCCTCAGAAAACATGTATATCTATTAATTTCTACTTTGCAGTCGAACCTGTGATAAATAGCTTCAATAGGTAAGTTTTCCTGGTACATGGGTTTCAACAGTCTTTGCCTGAGGGACCGCTTCTCTTTTAGCACAGCTTCCAAATGATTATTCATGCTTTGCAGAGTATGACACTTCTGAGCTACACAAATTGGAAATAATAATTATAGTTAGTAATAAGACAAGTCTTTGAGTCACTAATAATTTTTTTGCTTTGGTCTGACATTACCAATGTCAGAATTAATCCCATCATTTCCCTCCTAAATATCTCTTCGTTTTGCTATCTTGTTTTTTTTTGAGTTGGAGTCTCATTCTTGTCCCAGGTTAGAGTGCGGTGGCACACTCATGGGCACTGCAGTATTGACCTGTTCAGATGATCCTTCTGCCTCAGCCTTCCAAGTAGCTGGAACTACAGGTGCGTGCTACCATGCCCGGCTAATTTTTTATTTTTTACTGTAGAGATGAGGTCTCACTAAGTTGCTTAGGCTGGTCTCAAACTTGTGGGTTGAGGCAATCCTCTCACCTCAGCCTCCCAAGGTGCTGGGATTATAGGTGTGAGCCACCGTGCCCGACCTCTATATATTTAAAATTTTTTTTTTAGTTGTAGTCTCGCTGTGTTGCCCAGGCTGGAATGCCCTGTCACACTCATGGCTACTGCAGCATTGACCTTCTGGGATCCGGCGATCCTTCCGCCTCAGCCTTCCAAGTAGCTGGAACTACAGGTGCGTGCTACCATGCCCGGCTAATTTTTTATTTTTTACTGTAGAGATGAGGTCTCACTAAGTTGCTTAGGCTGGTCTCAAACTTGTGGGTTGAGGCAATCCTCTCACCTCAGCCTCCCAAGGTGCTGGGATTATAGGTGTGAGCCACCGTGCCCGACCTCTATATATTTAAAATTTTTTTTTTAGTTGTAGTCTCGCTGTGTTGCCCAGGCTGGAATGCCCTGTCACACTCATGGCTACTGCAGCATTGACCTTCTGGGATCCGGCGATCCTTCCGCCTCAGCCTTCCAAGTAGCTGGAACTACAGGTGCGTGCTACCATGCCCGGCTAATTTTTTATTTTTTACTGTAGAGATGAGGTCTCACTAAGTTGCTTAGGCTGGTCTCAAACTTGTGGGTTGAGGCAATCCTCTCACCTCAGCCTCCCAAGGTGCTGGGATTATAGGTGTGAGCCACCGTGCCCGACCTCTATATATTTAAAATTTTTTTTTTAGTTGTAGTCTCGCTGTGTTGCCCAGGCTGGAATGCCCTGTCACACTCATGGCTACTGCAGCATTGACCTTCTGGGATCCGGCGATCCTTCCGCCTCAGCCTTCCAAGTAGCTGGAACTACAGGTGCGTGCTACCATGCCCGGCTAATTTTTTATTTTTTACTGTAGAGATGAGGTCTCACTAAGTTGCTTAGGCTGGTCTCAAACTTGTGGGTTGAGGCAATCCTCTCACCTCAGCCTCCCAAGGTGCTGGGATTATAGGTGTGAGCCACCGTGCCCGACCTCTATATATTTAAAATTTTTTTTTTAGTTGTAGTCTCGCTGTGTTGCCCAGGCTGGAATGCCCTGTCACACTCATGGCTACTGCAGCATTGACCTTCTGGGATCCGGCGATCCTTCCGCCTCAGCCTTCCAAGTAGCTGGAACTACAGGTGCGTGCTACCATGCCCGGCTAATTTTTTATTTTTTACTGTAGAGATGAGGTCTCACCAAGTTGCCCAGGTGGGTCTCGAACCCGCGGGCTCAGGCAATCCCACTCACCTTAGCCTCTCAAAGTGCTGGGATTACAGGCTGAGCCACCGAGCCCAGCTTCTTTTTTTTTTTTTTTTTGAGTTTGTATCTCACTCTGTCACCAAGGCTAGAGTACAGTGGCACATTCACTTTAGCTGTCATGTCCCTTTAGTCTCTTTTAATCTGGAAAGTTCCTAAGTCATTGTCTTTCAATTTTTCCTGACTTTAAGGAGCCACCTTGGTCACTTTTTATACTGTTTGCAGTAATCAAGTTAAGGAGACTTCTATTTAAACATAGAAGACTTTGTTAGCTTTGGGGCAATACCTGAAAAAACTATAATATATCATAATTTTGCTACCTGGTGCTTATTTAGAGTAACCCAACAAAAAGCTGCAAATCCAGTGATTACTCATTTTATCAAACCACTTACCCAAAAAGAAAGGATGAACAACATCTGCTGTATCTTTTTCTAGTTTCAGGAGTTCAATTTCCAAATTCTTCTACATGAGGAACGAAAGTAACATTTAACCATTCAGAATGTATCCTAAAATTAAAGGCTTAAACTTTAGTAAAAATGGATAGTCTTTAAACCAGTAACATGCTATATATTCTTTAAGTAAGGCAAGAGAAAGATTTGTTGCCAGGCTCAGTGGCTTAGCCTGTAATCCTGTGCCTTTGGGAGGCTGAGGTGAGTGGATTGCCTGAGCCCGTGGGTTCAAGAC